TGGTTTCTGTGGAATATTTCTGTGTGAAAAGTAAAATAACGTAAGCAAATAAGTGTCTAAAAAAAGCCATGATAAATATTATTTACTCTATTTAACAGCACTTGGGAAATACTTTTAAAACAATGAGATTTTCATAAGGGGGCTAAAAATTTTGTCCTCAACTGTAGGTAATTGTACTACTTAAGATACAGAAATGGCTGCCATTATGGGCGGAGTGGTGGCTCTGAGGCTAGGGAGCTGTACTGGAAATTGGAAGGTTGCTGGCTCCAATCCCCTGAATGCCAGGAGTGATTCTACTCTGCTGGGCCCTTGACCTGTAGTTGCTTTGTCCTGGGTATGACATTAACCTACATGCAGCCCTACAAGCAGGTCCTCCAATTTCCAGGGAATTTGATGGTTGGTTGTAGGATTGGAACTATAGCCACTGGAAGAAACTTTGCACCATTCCATTTGAACTAGTGTGGTGCTGAGGTACTGCCTGAACATGGGTGTACTTGGGTTCTCATCCCTGAGGTGATTCATTGTGTGATGGCTGTGACAATGCACTGTATCAGTGCATGCTCCTTACCCCTCTCTCAGGGGAATATTAATGTTGTTTGTACTTTGGGGATGTTGCTCAGATTCTATTTCTGTACCTTAAATTAGACTAAAAGGTACATTTACCTACAGCATGGTGTACAACTGGCAAACAGTTCAGGGTACAGCCCCAGTGACAAGCAAAGGTACAAACTTGTATTCTTTTTCTCTCACGGTGTAGATTCCAGCTGTCAATAATTATTTTTGGACTCCACAAATATTCATGATTGTTGCCACTATCATTAGTGTTGGTCTCAAAACCGGTCTTGGGACCATTTTTTTGTGGTCTTGGTCTCATCTGGGAATCTACTTTATTTTGACTTGGTCTTGTCTCAGTCTTGGACATAGAGGACTCGAGATTTTATTTCAAGACCAGTCAAGACCACTCATCAAAACAATATTTATCACAATGGCTTAATAGTCACCTGTTTGTTAACCCTTAGAACCCAAGAAACGCAAAATGTGTTGATTTTCACACTCAATCTCAGGCTCGTAACTTTGGATAGGTATAATGCACAGACATGACTCACATATCTTTGCAAGAGAGATTTACTCAATCTGTCCGTCCAAGTTGCAAAATTCAAGAGTAATTCTGTGTGCAATTAGGCATATATTTTAAAGATTTTCCATGAAAAAGTACCCCTAATAATCCATAGAACATCGATATGTTTCACATTAGACAGGAAACAAAGTGCATATTCACTTCTGCAATGATCCACACACTATCCTTCCGGGGGAAAAAAAAACATTATAATTTGTTTATAATAAGCCTATAAATAAAGGGATAGAAAAAGACTCAGAAATGGGCTGCAGTTCTGCTACAAATAACAACTAAACGCAGCATTCTATGTATTAGGAAGACAATTATTTTATATTTTCACAATTTCCATCCATCCATTTTCTGAAACTGCTTATCCTATTTGGGGTCGTGGGGGTCCGGAGGCTATCCCAGAGGCTACAGGCGCAAGGCAGATAGACGCACATACATACACATGTACATATATACATACTTATATATACATATACACTTGTGCACCCATACTGTATGTACATACACATTCATATCCATACACTCACATACATACAAACATTATTACACAATATGTACATGAGTCAGCCACATATACCTATACACAAATATACATACACACACACACACACACACACA